ATTTACATTATTTAAATTATTTAAATTATTTAAATCATTTGAATTGGAAAAGAGTGGTTTGCCAACTGCATAAAATGAACTTAATGAAGCTATTTGAATTATTTAAATTATTTAAATTATTTGAATTCGAAAATGGAGGTTTGCCAATTCAAATAATTTAAATTAATTAAATTATTTAAATTATTTAAATTATTTAAACTATTTAAATTATTTGAATTGGAAAAGGGGGGTTGGCCAATTCAAATACTTTACATTAATTAAATTATTTAAATTATTTAAATCATTTAAATGATTTAAATTATTTGAATTGGAAAAGGGGGGGGGGTCCATTTAAATCAGCAAACTTAGCTTGCATTTTCAGCCGTGGTTATTTAAATTGCCAAGCTGAGCTTGCAACTTAAATCATGGGTATTTAAATTGGCAAACTAGAGCTTGCAACTTAAATCGTGGGTATTTAAATTGGCAAACTGAGCTTGCAACTTAAATCATGGGTATTTAGATTGGCAAACTAGAGCTTGCAACTTAAATCATGGGTATTTAAATTGGCAAACTGAGCTTGCAACTTAAATAAATAGCTCACAGGGCTCCAAACCACATAGTACATGATCTTCCCTCTTTGGGGGGGGGGGGGGGGGGGGGGGGGGGGGGGGGGGGGGGGGGGGGGGGGGGGGGGGGGGGGGGGGGGGGGGGGGGGGGGGGGGGGGGGGGGGGGGGGGGGGGGGGGGGGGGGGGGGTTGGGTGGTTGGGGTGTGGTTCGGAGTTGGTTGAGGCTTGGTGGGTTGGTTTAGGGTTGGTTCAGGGTTGGTTCAGGGTTGGTTTGCGGTGGGTTTCGGGTGGGTTTGGGTTTTGGGTTGATTTAGGCTTAGGGTTGGGGTTAAGGAGGGGTTGCAGGGTGGTTTGGTTTAGGGTAGGATGTGCGAGAGGTGCGGGGGTGTTGGTTCACGGGGTGAAAGGGGGTCTGGGACCGAAGCTGCAGGGCTCGCACGGTACTGGACAGCATCCCCAGTATTGCCAGCATCATCCCCAAGATGCGGATGATGCGGGGGAGTGGGGGGACCATACCATTGGGGGGGGGGCGGGTACGTGGCCCAGGGACTGGTACATATATATATATATATATGTATATATACATGTTAAGTTCAAATCTCGGTAGGTTGGCCCTAATCAAACTCTGCCTGGAAAGTGGGCCCGTCGATTTCTCCAAGCTCGGCCCCGGGCCGCTCGGCCGGCCGCGCCGACTCAGCCGCCGCCGCCGGCGCTTTTTCTGCGGCGCGCGCCTGCGGAGAGGGACCCCAGCGATGAATCAATGAAGCCGAAGTGTCCAAATACCAACTAGGTCCTCCAGCAGAGAGGTTAGAATAAGGGTGCCAACTGTTTTCCTTAGTCTATCTTAGTAGGGGAACCCTCCCTCAAAAAGGGTATAAGGGCACTACTGGGGACCTAGCCAAGCAAAAGCTATTGAAACCAAAGACGGAACATGGCTGGTTACAAGGGCTGATTATGGGCCCAAACTCATTGCCGAAGAAGGTCCAAGTGATGCACAGTGAGCCCAGCCATTTTCGGGTCAAGAAAAGGGGATGTGTTTTCCTAAGCACAGGTCACCTGCAATATCCCCGGGCACGGTTGAAGGATCTGAGCATAGAGGTACCAAGGGACAGAGGGCATGCCGGGGGGGGGGGGGGAGGAAAGACAAGCGTGCAATTATTGGCAGTCACGTGCCCTCTGCCTCTAAGTTATGCAGTCAACACTTTGCGCATCTACCTGGCCAAAATTTCTGAACCAGCAAATACTGCACGGTTCAAAAAATGCGCGGGGTACCTAGGTCCCCCACTCTATGCATTTGTCTGGAATGCGGGATGTACCGGTGGTTTCTCCTGTTCTTCCATCCATTTCGTTAATTTGACTTCCGACCCATGCCTCCTGTAGACCCGGCGAAGTTGAAAGCGAGACTGGGGATTTCTGCTCGGCGCTGCCCGCCAAAAGCTCCCAGACTTCGCCTGCCACAGCTGCGGTCGTGGCTTGCCCTTTGGTTTTCCTCCAAAACAACACAAAAAGGCTGCTACAGTACCCTTTTTGTTTTACAGGGAAACCAAAAGGACAACCACCACTTTGATGGGTCCGCTAAGCAGCACGCACACACACACATGTTGAGCTCGGATTCATCCGACCGCATGTTACTTGAAAGGACCTGAAAATCAAAGGAAATCACATTTTGGGACCTTGGCTATGGACAAAACCGAAAAACCAAAGGTCCAAAGGTCGGTTTTGGGCAACTAGGGTACTAATCTGGTCTTTGTTCTTTGGGTCTCCCTTGCAAACAACCCAAAACGGGGTGGGCTGAATAAAACAAAATATGGAACATTCTCGGGGTTTAAGATTCAACCGGGTATATGCAAAAAAACTGGCGTAGTACGTTAGTACGGGTGCTCGCCTCTTCTGTGTGAAATACGGATCTCCCAAACCGGGTTATTCTTTATAGGATCCCTGTCAAGCCAAAACCCTCGTTGTCAATTTACACCCAGATACACCCAGCTTTGGTTCAGTCACACCAGGAGAGTTCTGTTGGGAAATACCACCTGGCCATATTTGGCTTTTGGGCAATCAAAACCCGGGATTAGGGGACAGGGGAAGAATTGGATGCCCCAACCTGAATACCAAGAAGCGCAATGGTTTCAACCACGGTACCTCAATTTACACAAATTTACACTATGTTATTTATCATGTTTATACCGAACATATATCCTAACTGTAATAAATTGTGTAACTGTTCTTCGTGCTTTTCGGAATAATATATGGTCACCCTGCCCAGGGCCCACCTTTTTCCTTTTTGCATGAAGGAGATTGATTTGCAGATGTTCAGTGTCCACTTGGTTTGCAGCTGCATTGCAGTAAGCACTGTAATGTACGGTGTTTTTGTGCATTTGTTGATATTGTCTCAGATCTTCTTTCTGTGCTTGATGCAAAACCGGATCCAAGAAAGCAACAAACACGAAAACGGACAGCGTTTTCAGATGCAACTTTGTCACTGTTAAAAACACTGCTATTTGCAGTGATTGTTAAAGGAACATGTAAAACAACACATGTTTTGTTTTAACGTTTTTTGATGGTTTCAGACTCAAAACCTGCACAGGCTCAAAACTGCAAAAAATGCAAAGCCCAAATGCAATGTCAGAGGCCAGGGCTTGATTGGTCTGGATTTTTGCATTTTTTGAGCCTGTGCAGGTTTTGGAGCTTTCAGGTTTGGATTTGTTGCATTTGTTTGAGCTTGTGCAGGTTTTGGAGCCTTGGGTGCTTAAAACCTGCACAGCTCAAACAAATGCAAAAAGTCAATTCCTTTACTTGTTTCTGAAGAATGGCCATGACAAAGGGTGGAGACGAACTCAGCCTTAACTTGATCCGGGAAGATGATGTGCTTCAGGAGGAAGTGCTGCCCATTAGGAAGAGGAAGAACAACAAAAGACTATATCACATACCCCGCAAAGCGGCCTCCTTGGCCGCGAGGCAGACTTGAGATTGCAAAGTAGCATCAAAGGCTACAGGGCCAACAAAGTCGAAGAAGTGCTTTGCTTTGCTCTTGTCCTGGGGATGATCAACAGGAAGGTCAGTAGGCGAGACAGGACCACGAGGCAAGTCCACGACATTGGGCTTGGACAAGTTCTTGAGGAAGAGCACTTTACAAAAATATATAAAAAAATGATTACCTTTTTTTGAGCTTCTAGCAGCAGCGTACTATATAGAGGAAACTGTGTATGAAGTATAGGTCAGTAACATCAAAGCGACAAATGTACATATATATATATATATGCTACCCCCCCCCCACTGCGATGCGCCTTTTTGATGGTTTTGCTCTTCAGATGGGCAGATGTCTTGCGCCTTCAGATAAGCAGATGTGTTGCTCCTTCAGACGAGCAAGTGTCTTGCTCCTTCAGACGAGCAGATTTGGGCTCCTGCAGATGCAGAAAGAGTTTGAGCTGGAGAGAGGTCGAAGGATATGCAGATGATGTGTGGTCGACAGCACGCATGCAATCATGGCACTGGCGAAAGATCAGACTGCACGTTTTTTCCCCCGCTAGAGATGCTCTTGTCACTTCTGGACATATGCTTACATTGCACACTTGACCAGTTCCCCGGTCTTGGACCACAGATCCGACCCTCGAAACCAATACTGTACTGGGCGGATCTGATGCGGGCGCGCGTCTGCTTTGTGCCGGCACGGACCTTCTGATTCTTCTTCAGGCGGTCCTTGAGGAAACGCCATGCCCTGTCACGCTCAGCTTCTTGCCGTCGGGCAGCGTGTGCTGAGCTGTGCTGGGTGACACGCACGTAGCACGGCTTCTGCCATGTCTTCTTGCCGGTCTTGCTCTTCTTCATCTTCTTGCAGTGGACCACTGCATCATGAAATACTCCACTTTCATCTTGTAGCTCTTGGCCGCGTCCGTGTGAAGAACGACTCGTCGATCTTTCAAGTGCCTCTCAGCTAGTGGCTTCCAGTCCACTTTCCGGATTGCTCCAGGTCCCGGAGCCCCGAGTGCTGGGCTCAGGCGACTCAGCACCAGAGTCTGCGGTTGACCACGAGCAAGCATGCCGCTCCACTGCTCCCACAAGATTGGCTTCCTTGCTTGACATACTCCTTGTAGGTCACATCTCTGGTCACGTCTGCCCTGTCGAATGTGGTCTCGTCCGCTTCCACATCCTGCCATCCTTTGTTGCCAAAGACAATGCGCTTCTCCTCTTCCTCAACAAACCCGAGAATGAGGTGGATATCCGGATGGTGGACACCGACAAGCAGGAGGAAGAGCACGGAAGCCTGGATTTGCAAAGAAGTCTTCTGTCCACAGACCAGGAAGGCGAACTTGTGGCAAGCTTTTGCACGGCATCTGTGCTGGTAGAAGCCACCTCGTTGGACACTTGTCAAGCGACCCTCCCAGCAGCATGGGCACAGCTTGTTGTCCCAGTTGGGGAGGATGCCATCCCGCTGCAAGATCTGGACAATCTTCTTGTCCCCCGCTGTCAAGAGCTCTTTCAAGGTGCGCTTCCATTTGCTATGTTCCTTCCGGATGCCTCGAGGTGGAACTTGTCAAACTCTCCTCGGACATGCTTCACCTTCTTACACTCCTGGTCCTTCTTGGACGCAGGCCGTTTCACGCAGGCACGAAGCTTGCCCCGCTTCGGCGTGAACCCGGATTGACGTGTGAGGGCCATGTGACACACATCAGCGTGCCGGAATCTGAGCCAAAATCTGTTGCAAGTCAAGGAGGTAACAAATGCAATGTCACTGGCTGCACAAGGCTCTTTCAGTTGCAGCGTCATGCGTGAGATGCGCGCTTACATGTCTCTATACGGCTAGCTTCACACTCTATATCATGAGTCTCCATGTAGTGCCCTGTCCGCGTCTTCATCTGCATCCAGATTGTTCACGTCCAGGTTACTGAGGTCTCTTGGCCAGGAGGCGTTGGGGCGGTACGCACGTCCACATCCATATTGTTCTCAGGTTTATCCATTGTGGCATCCTGATGCTGCGAAGGCAAAGTACTGGATGGAGGCATCTTGCTGCGATGGCGCTTGTTGGGGTAGAGGAACGGCCTGGCACTGCGTGAGTTCTTCGCGGAAGTTCCAGTGGCTACCGGATTCGGGAAAATAATCTTTCCCTTCTCATCTTGATGTCCAGCCCATGTGGCGTCGAGCTCATCATCTGGCGAGGCTGGTAGCACCACCGGAGCTGGCGACGGACACTCGGCCAGCAATCTGGACGTGATCTCGACATTGCAGAAGTCGATGTACTTCTCCGGCCGGCCGTGTTCGCGCATACCACTGAGCGCTTCAAGACCGCCAAAATATCAGAAGGACGATCCCCGAAAAAACTCTTGCGCAAGAGCTTGAAGAACTCATCGGGGGGAATCTCGATACGGCCCGGTTCATCTTTGGGTTTACCTTCCTCACATAGATCATTTGAAGCATAGCCACGCATGCCATTCTTGATCAACTTAATGTCGTTATAGCGGCCACGGCATGTTTGATCTTCTTCTACCGTCATAAAGCTTTTCAGGTCAGAGATGTCAACGTGGCATCGAGAGGGGTCTTCCAGGAAAAGGCCTTCCTGGATTTGAGGAAAACGGTGTCGAAAGTTGTCCAAGGATCGAGCACGCCGCCATCCAGCCCGCGTTGTGAGACCGAGTCTTTGCACATGATACCTTATAGCCATTGCCATGATGATCATGAGTGGTGTCTTTCCAACACCGGGCCATCCCAGCATGAAGACCCCGTAGCTGGCCAAGAGCGGCAAGATCCAGGGAAGGATGGTCTCAGACAGGATGGGCTTTAGGCTTGATAAGGTGAGAGGAAAATCCTGTTGTGGCTCTGCACCGGCGACACCCCTGGACTTGTTCTGGGCCATCATCCTCACCTTTGATTCAGGCCATCCAGCAATGGGCGTGTCTGCATCCTCTTTGATACTCGACAGAATCCCGAATGTCTGTTCATTCTTGGAGTCGCAGTCGGGGGCATGTGCGTTGATCCACTCAATGCCAGCCTGCAAATCGGCATTGGCAGGGCTCCATGTAGAACACGATGAACGTGAGATAGTCGGAGACTGTTTGGAGAGAGACCACCAGCGAACTTGAACACCTGCAACTCTATCCAAAAGGAACTGGATGCCTTTCCTGACTGCCCAGGGACCGTTTGCGGAAGAGGGGGACATAGCATTGGCCATTTGCATGCTTCACAGCAGTCTTGGCGGGCACAGGATTCGCAAAGTAGATGATCTTCACGAACTCCATGGTTCCATCTTGGAGGTTCCTTACGATGACATCCACCTTGGCATCCTCTGGAAGACTCTCGCCCGGCACTTGCAGCAAGGGTGGCATCGCGTTCCACCGCTGTTGCTCGAAGTGAGTGCAGATAGTCTCAGCGCCCATCCCTTGCTCAGGAATGCCCAGGTGCACGTCGAAACAAGGTCGCCACTGTCTTCGTTCCTGCAATGGGTGGACATGCTCCTCCCAAGAACGAGAGCAAGTCGATGGAGGGGGCTGCTGGAGGGGGGTCTGCACGTGCATTGATGGAGAGGCGCCTTGGTGAAGACAGGATGTCGCATCGCCAGGGCCTTCCCGCCTACTTCCAAGATGGCATCATCCAATAGTTTCCCTGACATGGCTTTGGGCGTTTGGGAATGTTCGAGCGACACCTTAGACAAATGACCAGGCCAAAGATGCTGCGTCGCATGCGGGTTTGTACATGGAACAACACAAACAAGACAGTGCCATGGACTGTTACACCCAGCTCAACACAAGTCAGCACTGCAAGCAGGCATCTCAAGTTATATTCCCACATACAGCCCTACGCTCCGCCAACAAGCCACCTTTTTCTCGTCACGGCATCCATCTAGCCTGTCAATGAACCGAAGATGAAGTGTCACTCTGGCATATATACAAAGCTAGTTCTTCCTTTCCAAGAATGCAACACGGTGTGTCAAGATCTCAATCTCACGCTCTGCCTCCTGCATGTCCCCCTCCAGGATCTGGTTGCGCTGGTACAACTCCTGTGCCCTCTCCAGAAGCTTGCCGAACTTCGTCTGGATCGTGTTCCGTTCACACTCCATATTGAGGAATACCGGATGCGTGACAATCACCTCTTCTGGAATGGATGCCTCCTCTTCGATCTCAGCTGCTGCTCCTGCGGATTCTGCTCCGTCACCATTGGTTGACTCACTGTCCGAGGAAGAAGACGAGGACGAAGAGGATGAGCTCGGAGGCCGTGCGTGCCCGGAGCGTGGAGCCCGCGCAGGTGAACGAGAACGGGGACGATCTGGGATGGCCAGTGGCGCCGCGGGTACCATCTTCTCCTGTGAAGCTTGCCCATCTTGAATTGCCAGCACTCTGCCACGTTTGGGCGTGGCCAAGTACACCTCCAAGCGACGGTCAGCCTCCGGAAGCCACATGCCACGTGCGCCCGGGGTGATCACCATCGCTCTCTGCACGTTGCCCATGATGTGCGTTGCCTCTTTTGACTTCAATGGCGTGCGGGATGCGTGTACCATCAGCTCGCCGCGCTCCACTCTTTCCACGATTTGAGCCCCTGTGGGTCCTGTGGGTCGTGGGATAGAGCTCCTTCAGAGTGGATGAGCGTTAGGAACTTGCCCTCCAGGCGGTCCCTGCTCAGCCGAGCTTCCCCCGACTGGATGAGCTTCCGGAACAGGCTCCCCTGATCAGCCGACACAATGGTCAAGGTGGCCGTTCCTCGCCCAATCTGCACCATTACTTGCCGGGCACGTAATCCTGAGAGGAGGTACTAGTACCTCCCCTCAGGTACGAGTACCTCATGGATGGAAGATTGAAGATTGAAGATTCCCTGAGACTCTTTCAGCAAATCTTCAATCCATCTTCAATCCCGGGTGGAGGTACTAGTACCTCCACCCAGGTACTAGTACCTCATGGATTGAAGATTGAAGATAGAATATTTTCTAGGACTCTTTCAGCAAGTCTTCAATCCATCTTCAATCCCGGGGGGGTACTAGTACCTCCACTCAGGCACTAGTACCTCATGGATTGAAGATTGAAGATGGAAGATTCCGGATTCCCTTGGACTCTTTCAGCAAATCTTCAATCCATGGGATAACTGGGTCTTACATCTTCCAGGATTGAAGATGGATTGAAGATTTGCTGAAAGAGTCCCGGAGAATCTTCAATCTTCAATCCATGAGGTACTAGTACCTCGGGGGAGGTACTAGTACCTCCCCCCATGATTGAAGACTGAAAAGGTGGATCGCAGTGGGGGGGTACCATATATATATATGCATGCCCACCCCCTACTCTTGAAAGTATCAGTTTTTCTAGACTGTACAAGTGAAAAGGTGGGCCCTGGGGGGGGGGGAGCATGAATATATATATATATATATATATTCCACATATATTATAATTTAGGAGCCGACGCAACCATCCACCGGAATCGACCCAACTTCACTCGCTCCGCCTTGCATGGCGAAGTTCCGGCCGACCAAATGGAGCCCTCTCACAGACTGGGTGGCCTCCCTTCTCTGCTGGCTGGATACGAAGATTCATGGGCGTCTTAAAGTAGGGAACCCAAGAAATATGTTATTTTCCTTTTTGGGGGTTTCCTCTAAAACAAGCCCAGGTGATTTTGCCTTCTTAGTTTTCAGTCAAAACAAGCTTAAAACAAAATGAAGGTTCTAGCTTGCGTCTCCGTCACCTCTGAAATGCTGTTTGATGAACACGGCAACGTGCACCCAAGTGGTGCCAGTACGTTCACACACTTGACAAAGGGACCATGTTTGCTCAATATGAAACTGCGTGACATGCTTTAGTATGGCTTCAAGTATACTGCAAGCAGGCTCATAAGGAGCCGCCATCTTACAAGTAGGCATCAGATGTGCTCAGCGCAATTGGCGGGGCAGTTTGAGCCCGAAACATGGCAGTTGCCATCATTTGTCGTGATTCACGTTGCTCTCTTGACAAAATGTACCATGGGTCTGTCGCCAAAACCAGTCGAGGCACATGTATTGATGCTCCGCGGCATGCCCGTCCTGCAACATTCAGTGATGTGCTTTGTGTACGCCCACGTGCGTAACTGACTTGAGCCAAGCGACCAGCTGGAAACAATCACGACACGCGCACGAACATGCTATTGGCTTTATTTATTCAGATCGAGCTACAACGTTGCATCCCTGGGTATGGTAGCAATCACTGCACCAAAACAACAGAAGCAAAACGATGTCATGTTATGTCTAAGTGACTGCAAACTCAATTTGCTATTAATTAAGTATCACTCATGTGTGCTTAGTGCAATTTGTGCAATGATACAAGTGACCTTCCAGGGTCCTTTGGGGGGGGGGGTGCAGCTGGCAAATTTGAGGTTTGGAGGGCAAGTTTGAGGTTGCAAGGGGCGGGGGGGTGGCCAATTGCCGGCACATGTACGTTGAACGGTCGCTTTTTTGGGATATGAGCGTGTCACCAGCGTGTCGCCCCCCCCCCCTTGCGCGTTGCTTGTGCAATGATCATACATGTCAGCCCAACCCCTCAACTGGATCCCCTCTAGTATCCTGAAGTGACGTTTCAACAAAAGTGACCTTTCACTGCACTTTGATGATGGCAAAACATTTATGTGACTACAAAACCGTTTTTAAGCAAGTGCTGGTCAATTGCCGGCACTTCACCCGGGACGCCAATTACCGGCCATCGGGGGGAGCTGGATAACAAGCATGAACCCTCTGACCAAGTGCCTACAAAGGATTGATCTGGCGCTCTCAAAATATATGGGTGCGCCAATCAGGGCAGCCACCATTTTGAGTGGTTTACCGTTTTCCCTTGGTTTTCCTTTACACCAAGCCCCAAAAAAGAAAACCCAGCCAAACGACGCCATATGTGGCAAGCGCCGTCTCGCGGATTTTTGACGGAACTGGGGAAGCAGTGTATCCACCTACAAAAGTGCCACGGGTTTTAAGAGACACACCAATATTGGAGCTGTTATTTTTGAAGGGTACCCGTTTTGGGGCTGCCTGAAATGGAAATTCGAAGGGAAAACCGAAGACATTCCTGGGGTCACCCATTTTTAAGAAACACCCATATGCGCCATGGTCACAATGTGTGTCTGATACACTCTATGCACATGGGCAGAATGCCGCGAGCGGAACGGAACCCTGCAAAAACATATTGCCCCGGATCCTGCCGTTGTACGTGTTTTTTCTTACTGTTCAACTGAAGCTTGGTCAAATATTACTTTGCCTCGGCTCCCAGGTCCAAACATCAACACCCCAAACCACGCTGGGCCATGGGAGAAAATGGGCACCCTGTTCCTGCGGCTGTCTTGGAAGGGAAACGTTTCCCTCCAACCAAAGGGCTCGCACCCCACTGCAAGTTTGCCTGACATGCAAACTCTCCTTGCACCGATACCCCAGTGACGGGGGGTTTTCCCGCACGCGCAAATTGCACTGGACCATCTAACATCGAGATGCCAGGCGAGGCGAGAAATTCTCGGCCTGTCGCATCCTTGGGATGGCCAAGGCCACAAGCACTGGATCAAGGTGAGCGCTCAACCCATCTTTCGGGGGTGGGAGGGCCGAGTTGCTGTCTCTCCTCAACGGTTCGGAAACACCATGCAGTCGGCGAGTCCCCCTTTCGAGGGTGCCGTTTTTGGGGTGCTTTAAAGGGAAGCCAAATCGAACACCACCATTTTGGGGGTTGGCACCTTTAAAAAGACGAGCCACCTAAAATGGCCAATCTGGAAGTGTTTGCACCCACCGTGAAGACCGGCTTTGGGTGGGCTCGATGTGCTCGATGTCCTTATCATTCGTCCGGATCAATCAACCTCACAGCAATCTAAAAGGGTCATTGTCATCATCCCGGGGAGTTGATCGTTAAACTTCTTTCATGGAACTTGAACAGAAACATGGCCAAGACAAACCCTATAATTATAAGCAACATTGCTTAACTAGTAGAGTTGGCGATGGAATCTAGACGGCCGACGTCAGCTTTTATCTGGCGGATGTGGGTTGCTGACCGTAACTGTATTATTGAGTTTGCAATGTGCGGCAATCACCCTGAAAATCGCGAACTCGCTCTCGCCATGCTCATAATCTGCTCAACTGATCAGGGCTTTTCCCGAAAAGGACCTCCATGGGGTGATGCGCACGCCTCACGGGCTTGTCGAATCGTTGCCAGGAGGGATGGGGCCAGCTTGTTTTCCCCCCATCTCACAGAGCTGGACCTGAAAGAGAATACGCAGGAGACTACCAACTAGGTCCTCCGAGAGGTTAGAATACGGGTACCATTTTTTGTAGTCTATTTTAGTAGGGGAACCCTCCCCCCAAAAATTGGTAAAAGGATGTAAAAGGGCACCTAGCCGGGGGACCTAGCCGATGAGGTCCCATTGCTGGGAGACTGGCTCTTTCCTCATGGGTAAGCTCGTTTTGCCCTGACGTTTCCTGGCGCAGATCGCTCAACTCGCTTGGAAGTAGTCCCCGTCTGCGTCACCTTGGCGCTTGGCGGGGAGGGGGCATTTGAGTCATACCCGGAACCGGATCGACATGGAACCAGATTGGTATGGAACCCACATGGAACCCCAAAGAATGGTTGTAGCATGAAACCAGTTAGCATAGAATCTCAAACAAGGTTTCTGGTTTGTAGAGGAACCTCTGCTTGGCAATTGGACCCATGGTTGAAAATTGCGACTGCCCTGTTTTGTTTCTGATCAACTTTGCGAATGAGTACCCTATTAGCATGGAGTACTAATACTTTACCAAATCTCACATAATTGCCAAACAACTTACCACCAAAAACCGACTGGGGCCTACCCAAAACCGACACCCCGGCAAATTGTTCGTTGCTCTCATCATTTGTGTTGTCTTTCGTCAATGTCTTGCTGACTTTCTTGCATTAGAACATCTTTGTCTTCATGTCTGCTCCTATTTCCTCTACCTGTATAGGCTTCGCATCAGGCGGAAAAAAGATCTGAGCTCCCCATCCTCCACTTCCACACCTACTGAAAAGCAGCTCTTTGTGGGAACCTCTTTTGTAATCCTTTCGGGAAACATGAGTCGAATTGCCTTACAGCCCTCTGGTTCAGTTAAGTACGTGCCATTCATCCCTCGCCTCTAAGAGGGACCTGCTGGTTCCCGGTGCCAGGCACTCTCAACAGGACCCGGGCAGTGAAAAGGAAACAGAGCAGACAATTAACCCAATGCCAGTTGCTTCCATTTGCTGTTCTTCCCCCTGGAAAAAATAAAATACTTCCAGTAGATATAGATGTTCTTTAAACACCAACAAGGGACCATAAAACATACTTTCAAGCAAATGGAAGATTCTCTACCCTTCCGGCTCAACAATGCCTACAGGAAAAACCCTGGCACCTCTCGCACTGCGGAAAACGGCTCAATAAAAAATCCGGAGCGCGAATGTCGAAAACTCTGGGGCCTCAAGCCCCAGTACACGCGCACCTGCATGTGGGACCCGAATCGCGCCGGCTCGAACACCTCAGTGCCAGACTCTTTTGGGGAAGGGTCTATCCCATAATTTGCCCTGGGGTTCAAACTAGGACTAAAAAAACAAAACTTGGGAGTTAATATCACCACCATTATTTACCTATATAAGGAGTTTCATCAACCGCTCTTTTAAGTGGAGTTGAACCCTAGAGGTCTATAGGGGTTCATCCATCCCAACTGGTGCAGAATATGGTCCATCCACAGTCATAGTACAGCATCAGTATCTATTAAAAGACGGTTTACGATAGCTTCCGTGTGTTCGTGTTACACTGTCTTGTTGTTGATCCTTTTCTTAGGTGTGTCACACCAAATATCACCCTATCTATTATCCCCCCTAATTACTCAGTGAAGACAAACACCTAAGCATCCCCACATCCAGTCATAAACAAAGTACAGTATGTATATATATATATATACCCATCTATATATATATATATAAACCAACATGGTGGGTGTGAATGCAGCCGCTGAGTTTACCAGGTAGAAGCACAACCCTGTTGAATGCATTGTGCGCTTGCTCAGTATGAAACCGTTGACCGTTGAACATGTGGATCCAACCAATTCCTGTGGACGCCTGAAATATCCCTCAGGGCTTGATATTCCCCTATCCTCTTTACGAGTCTATCGCATCCATCCTAAGAAAGACCTACAAGTAGCTAAAATATGTATCCGAATATCACCCCCAAAAAGGAACTCACTTTGAATTCGCGCTGCAAGGGAGACATATATGGGGAACCCGTACGAGCTTTGCACATACAGCAATCATGCTGAAGGACAGCAATAAACAGGGCTACCAATGTCTCTCCTTGGCCCAGAGATCAAGGTCATCCCTATCTTGTAGGTAATCAGTCATTACCCTTTGGTTTTTTAAGGGTGGTTCCAAGCGTTACCTACCATAGTGGTAACTGGAAGCGCTGGGTTGAACGTCAACCCCCCAAAGGAAGCTCTCGGCAACTCAAAAAAGGCTATCTCTAAAGCCACGC